TCCTTCAGACTGTCCTCCAAATAGTTCTAGGTGATTGTAGTCCCTCTGTAGCAGTAGTGGTCTTGCCAAAGAGAACAGCAGAACCAGAATCTAAGGAAGGGCGTGGCTACACTTGGCATTTGATATGTCATATTATTGTCAACATTTATATTGTTCATGGGCTCTGTGACTACAATGAGGCCTAAGACCTTATAGCTTCGAGTAGCTTTCTAAGAGAGACAGGGAGAGAGAAAACACAACAAGGTGTAGCACAGTAGAAATACTAATTGTGCAATACAGACAATGGTGCTAAAGACAGAACCTTATGTTCTAGATTTACCAGGACAGTTCTGATTCAAAAATCTCATCCCAGCAGTCAATTCCTACAGTACACCTGTGTGGAAACTTTGGGTTTCAGTGTTTGACATAAAAAATAGGATCACTACAGTGACTAATGAGGCAGACCAGCCAACTAGGTTAGCTGAAAGCATGAGAGCAGATTGTTTAATCATACTAGGACCTTCCCAGAGCCATCAAATAATTGTGGGATTGAACATTATACAATATAACTTGAGTTTTCTGAGGCTGAGAGAGAGCTCATCAGGAGAACGGCAAAGGAAGCTAGGAGTGTTTCAAAAAAGTCAGGCAGATGAACTGTAAGACACCTGTTTCTGTTAGGCCATTCTTCCACAATGGCCTTTTAAAATGGTTGAGAATTGTAACAATAATTGTCTATGATACTCTTGGGAAGGAAACAAGTTTATTTGTGTGACAAAAATTAATCCCCCCCCCCGCCCCAAGCAGAAGGAAGAAAATATGCACTAGCTTGGTCTCTTGCATATCAGTTGACAGCAATTACTGCCATGCAACAATCACCCCTCTCTTTCTTCTTTTGCTGTCCTCCTCATGTATCCCACTCACTCCTCTTATCTCTTGCCAGTCCATTCCCTCTTCTGTTCAGCCTTTACTTTAGACAGTGGAGCCCCAAACAAGAATCACATGGGAAATTAAAAACAGATTCCCAGGCCCAAATTTACCAAAATAAAAAGATTTGGAAACCCATATTAGATCAATAACAGAATTCAAGGCACCAAAGTTTTTAAGACTCATCAAGTATTGACTTCATTTTTCATACAGAAAATGCAGCTCAGAGGGTTTAAATGTTTTCTCATGGTCAAAAATATACTACCAAAACTTCCTTTTTTTGGGAGAAACAAACCATTTACTTTTCATTCTAATATAAATGAATATGTATGTATTTGGATACATATATACACATGTGAAACAAAACTATCCAGTGTTGAATAGCTGTTTGAATAAAAATGGTTACAATTGATTAGTTAAAATGGTTACACGTTGATTGAATTAACTGATTAAATCATTTTGAAATACAAACGAAAAGACAGTATATCTGTAGACTTTATACAGGTTGAGATACTCAAGCACATACTTGAAAAGTGAACAATCCTCAGCATCACACCGTTGAACAGTAAGAATACACACACTTGATGTAATTCCTATTCCATAAGCGGACTAAAAGCCCTTGGATTACTATAAAAATACTTGCTTAAAAGAAACACAGGATGCAGCAAAAGTAGTTTTACAGCTGTTCACATGGAAAATAATACAATAATAAAAAATAATACAAGAATAAACTGTTTCATGTACTCACAACTAAACCTACTTTTATACCACCCTATATATCACATAGAAAAATGCATTTGCTAAAATTATATCAAACATTAAAAGCTATTCACCAATAAGAGCCTCATAAATTTAATTGCTGTTTTGAAATGTCTAGTTAAGGGCTCAGAATATTGCCTTGTAAAGTCTTGAATATAGATGTGGTTGATATGACAACCCAGAAAGAGTGCCTGGCTCCATTTCAGCTGGCCATGATTGCAATTTAGATGCAATCCTCTGATGGACTGTTTGTAAATGGCTTCCCTTTACAATATCTATACATCTTTAAATTATCTATAGTAAATTCTATTAACCATGGTTATTCTTTATTTTTTTACACTGATTCTTAGAGAGAGGGGAAGAAGGAAGTAAGGAGAGAGGCGAGGGAGAGAGAAAGAGGGAGAGAAACATCCATTTGTTCCACTTATTTATGCATCATTCATTGGTTGAAGCTTCTATGTGCCCTGACTGGGCGATGGGGATCAAATATGCAACCTTGATATATGGGGCCAATGCTCCAACCAAGCTGCCCAGCCAGGGCAACCATTGTTATTCTTAAATGGAAAGACGCTGGTCATCCAAAAAAGATTTCTTGCAAAATATATAAATAAATGTAACTGCATATTCTTTAATATATGTAATGTGTCTAAACCAGATCATCATGGGCTTCTGTTGTTCAGCACTATGTAAAATTTATTAGAAGTTTAAAAAGAAAATTTCTGATTCAGCTGCCTTCATTAGTTCTTTAAAATGTGTAATACAATGGCAGAAAGCATCGAATAAATGGAGTTGATAAGGAAAAATGCCCAAACAGTGAATATTACTCAGCACCTGAGTTGTCATCAGAATGAGTTATCTTCATACACACACACACACACACACAGAGTGAGAATGAGAGAGAGAGACCAACCGACCTTGGTATTAGCAGTTATATTAACTGTTCCAACAATGGCACTGCTTTTCAGCAATGCAAAAATATTCTGAGAAATTGTTCAGATTACAACAAGACAGAGATTTTTGCCAATGTTTTTGCATAAACAAACCTAACAAATATAATAAATTAAGAGCAGGTAATATTCACACACCTAACACAAAAGGAGATGTAATCCAGATCTTTTAATTTTCCCAATGACCATTATCAGAAAAATAAACTGCATTAAATCAGTTATTTTCAATCTTTTTTACTTCATGGAACACATAAACTAATTACTAAAATTCTGCAGCACACCAAAAAATATATTCTATTTTTTGCTGCTCTGACAAAAAATAGGTATAATTTTAATTTGTTCACACCAGACAGTTATTGTATTGGCTGTTGTCATTTTTCATTTGACAGTCTAAGAGAAAAGAGATCAGTGTCCCTGACTAAATAGTCGAGTACTGAATGTTTTTAAAATTCTTGTGGCACACCAGTTGAAAACTGCTGCATTAAATGTCTATTGATAGCTTTTTGATTATCTGTGGCCAATAATGTACTAGGAGGTAATTTATAGTTTTTCATCTCTTTTCTCTCCAAGGAGTTCCAAGCTAAATTTTAAAGTTTTACACTAAAATATACAATTCTCATTATCAAAAATATCTTCCTCCTGGAGGAGCAATATTACAGTTTTTGGTGCAATCCTGATCAGAGCCCAGCTGAACTCTGAAAAGAGTCCGCTTTTAAAAGAAAACCAAAAAAATCAAGGTAGCGCAAAGGCTCCAGCTGTCCAGTTTTGCTTTTTTACTGTCTTGATGAGGGGTGAGCCACACACAATAATTACACTTTACTTCATAACTCATCTTTTCATTGGCATTGTCATTTGTAGAGCTCATACTCCTAACTCTAGTACTCAGAGCATCGCACTTTATTGGCTAAAGCAATGGAAAAAAGCAAGTCAGACAATGGGGGAATCACAAAGTTTCCTCTTCAAATTCCCAGTTAGATGAGGTCACTCAATGAGTGTGTGTTTCCAAGGCCCCTCAAATTCCCACATCCTCACCAGTGTTCTGGTTTAGGAACTGTGTTTGAAAACTTCTTCCCAACTTCACCAAGTAAACGTGTAAAAGCCCAATTGAACTGTTAAGCTTCTATAAGCTTGTGATTTTTTTTGTCTTGTGATTTTTCTTGAAAAGAACTAAAGAATAAAGCACAGATTTACTGTGTATTCCTTATCCCCCTCCTCCCAGAAGAAAAACTAACACTTTTAATAGGAGAGCTAAAATGTAAATAAAAACACACTGGTTAATGCCATACCAGAAATTCAAATATAAAACCCAGCAAGTTTCGGTTTCCTTCTACTCGGGAGGACAGTTTAGGAGGTAGGGAAGACAGTTTAAATAACAACCTATTTCCAATCTCTACAACTCTGTTTAGGAAAGAGCATAGCATCTGGAGGCAGTCGACCATGTTCCACCAGCTTGGTTGTGGGATGCAAGTCAATTCACTTAACCAGAGTCTCATCACTAATCCCATTTACAAGTGGGAAATGATCAACTCACAGGGCTCTGGAAATGGCTGACAATGAGAGGGCTTCCTGAACTATATACAATGTTTATTTTCTGCTTCATAGAATCATAAACATAACAATAATGGATGACAGCCACAGGCCACAATAACCAGTTTATCAGACCAATTTAAATGGCATGACAGACAGGCCTTTTGCAGAGATTGTGCAAGGCGGTCCTGGCAGCTCTTATAGGGCAATTAATAATGCATCTAGAGAACTGTGCTTATGAAGCGATAGGTAAGCTCCCCTGCCCAAACTAACCATCTGTCCCTGGTGTTGATCTCTCCCAATTTGGCGCTCTGCACCATGGCGGCCGCTGGTCACTCATGAAGTCAAAACAGTGACTCAAAGGGCCCTTCGGACTAAGGTGAGTCAGATGGAGGAAGAGAAGAGCCAAGGCCCAAGACAAGCCACCACGCCGGGCACCCATCTCCGACTCTGGGGCAGGTCCGGGTCCTCGCGGACCTCAGGTGGATGGACGTGCGGGCTGGGAGGTTAGTAGCTGCAACCCCCACCCCCACCCCCCGCCCCGGAAACGCCAAATCCACCAGCTGCGACCCCAGGGACACCTCACCAAGTGCACTCGCGAAGCCAGAAAGGTGGACCCAACGGGGTCCAACGCAAACTGGCCATTCAGGCTTCCGAGGCCGTTGTAAACGTCCTCTAAGAAGCGGGGCTCACCCCGCTTCCGCAGGGCCCCCCACCACCCCGCCCGGGCCCGCCGGGTCTCCCTCAGGCCGGTGCTGGGGACACAGAGAGCCGCAGCCAGCGAAAGCTAGTTCCGAAAGACCTGGGTCGGTCACGGCCCACCGAGGAGCTTGAAGTAAACCCGGGAGGACGCGGGCCACTCACCAGCCACGGATCCTTTCAGCCTTCTCTCGGTCGTCCTGTCTGTGACCGCTTCCGCACGTCAGTCAGGAAAGCCCTCGGAGTCGCAACCACCCTAGTCTAGCGGGAGGGCGCAAGGGGGGCCCGACGTAGGCACGCAGCGGGAGGCGGGGCTTGCGAAGGACACGCCTTTGCGGCGGGCACGTGGTTCCTCTCTTGGTACCTGGGTTGGTCCCGGAAGCCGGGGTGCTTCTGAGTTGACTAGTAAGAATAGGTGTTTAGGAGGCTCCCTCTGGGCGAGGTGCTTTTCTTAACTGCGCTTTTCTTAACCACACTTTTCTTAACCGAGGTCACCAGCTCTTCAGGCTCATCTCGTGCTAGGCTCCAGCTGCCCTTTCTGTTCCCAGCCGCACTGGCTTCCAGTCATTTCCTGAAGCATTGGACTGGCTGGAGATTAAATGACTGTCTGGTAATGTCCACTGTCGGCAAAGGTGTGGAAAGTTTACAGTGTTTGTTGGAGTTATTATGTGTCCACGAAAGAAATCTCAAACCTAAAGAAACGTTTAAAGAGTTTATTAGAAACAAGGATTGTGGGCTCGTGCTGGAAGCAAAAGTCCAAAGGATAGAGATAATGCTCCAGGAAAGAGCAATTTTGTAGTTTATTTTATTAGTTAGAATCAAAGGAGAAGACCTAAGAAAGGTTACATGAAATCCACTGGTAGATTAAAGAGGTGGGGGAAGGTAAAGTGGGAAAATTTCTAGGATTGGATAAAAGGTAAAATAGATTCATGTTTCTTTTACCTTAGTTGGTGCAGGATAGTTAACATTTAACATAGTTTACAAATGTATTCAGGTGAAAGATAATAATGAGGACTGTTGGGGTTGATCCCCCCCCCCCTCACTCCAGTGCACTGGGATGTTTATCTTTGGCAGCCTTGAGAAGAAATCATTATGACATTTTAAATATCTTATTCTAGATGCACATAAATAATGAACAGGGTTTGTTCAAGGAAGAGGTGGTCTATCATATGGGCCTTAAGACTGCCCATCATAACCTGCTAAGTTAGGAATGTTTTTATGATCAAAACATCCTGCATGGTTACTTTCAGTTAGTGAGTTTGTAAGGCTTGCTAAGGTAGCCCCTTTTTTGTTCACATGGGGAAGGAAGGACAATTTGGTGAGATATGTGAAAATTTAGAATGGGCATTCTCTTTGACCCAACAATTCTGGGTAGGGACACTTGCATTACCTTACTCAAAGGGTTCACTGCTTGGGGTACTCTATTCAAAAATGAGGTGTGGTTGCTGCAAGTTTTAGTTACCTGCAGCAAATAAGGGAAACAGAATTTGTCACTGACAAAAGGGTTCTTGTCACCCTACCCCAAGATAGAAATCAGGAGAGGAGGTGAAATATTCAAAATTAGAGGTTTTCTGAAATCAAAGTGGAAGAGAAGGAGAAAGGAAGAGAGCTTGATGCACCTAACCATAGTTTAGCTCCAGACCTCTGCCAGGGGTCTGGCTTATATAGGGCTGGTTCATCACATAGGTGCAGAGTAGATTTCTTTACTTTTCAGGTTCCAGCAGCTGGCGTCTCTTCTGGCAAAGAACTCTTTGCTATCCAGGTGCACAGAGCAGAGCTCTTTGGGGAGTGCCTGAAGAAAAACTTGAAACTTATCTAGGAGAGTCTTTTAAAAAATGACTGAAGAGCATTCCTATCCATTTCAAAATCTCTGCCCCAAGGAAGAAGACTTTACTTACACACACACACACACACATACGCACACAATTTGATCAAGTACATGTTGATTTCTTCTTTGCAGTTGGCTACTTTTATCAGGCTGAGTTTCTTTCAGCTTATCCTGTTTACTACTGCATCTGCAAAATACTATGTTAAACTTTATCATTTATCAAGAAATAATATTTAGGTTTGCCCAGATCTTGAGACTTTTGTCCTATCTAACACTTGCAAAGAACTCAAAAAAACATAGACAAGGAAGGTCATTCCAACACATACCATGACACTCCATTTTGGTGAAAACCTTGAAGCAACCTTTAGGTCCATCAGAAGAAGATGTAGTAGTGTTTCACAGGGGCACATAAATTCAATAGAGTTCTGCTCAATTAAAAAGGAAGAGTAACCCTGACAAGTGTGGCTCAGTTGGTTGGGCATTGGCCAGCAAAGCACATCAGGGCAAATGCCTGGATTGCAGATTCAGTGCCTGGTTGGGTGCTTGTGAGAGACAACTAATCAATGTTTCTCTCTCACATCAATGTTTCTGTCCCTTTCTTTCTCCCTCCCTTCCCCTCTCTCTAAAAATAAAAGTAAATTTTTTAAAAAAGGGTAGACACTGCTAGAGAAAGGATATCATGTAGAAGGGGGGGAAGCAAGTTTTAGAAAAAGAAATCTATTGTATGTAATAAACAACCTAGAAAACAAATTTTGAACACTAAATATTTTCAATATTTAGAAATATTGAATAATGTGCATGCTGAAGTCTTTAGAGGAGAAGAGTACTGATATCTGCAACTTTCTTAAAATGTATTAAAAAATAAGATAGCTGATGGATACATGTTACCATAGACCGTCAGTCATTGCATGGGGGATTCTTCCCCATTGGCCAAAATGGCAGCAGAGTGAGGTCCTTACGCTAAGTGTGCCAAAAGCTAAGAAGGTGTGTAGATAAGGCCAGATTGAACCCAAAGCGAGAAAGATAAATGGGTAGGACGCAAGCCTGCCAAATGCTGGAAAGATGAATGGACAGGACACCAGCATGCTGAAAGCTAGCAAGATAATTGAATAGGAAAAAAGTTCTCTCTTCCCAATCCTTATTAGAACCTTGGGCTTGAGCAGGAAGGAGAAATGGCCTTTGAGATGGAAGTCCACCATTCTCCCAGATCACATGGCATCCATCTGAATAAAACCTCTTTCCTTTTGTACCAGCACCTGCCTCACAAGTTTGGCTTTCGTTGCAGCAGGCAGCCAAACCTGCATTTTCCTTTACAGTTTTTGGCAACTCCACTTGGGATAGCATGGACTTCAGTGTCAGCCACCTGAAACACTAGGCTGGTGAAAGGAAATGGGTTTCTCGGAGCAAATGAACTCCAAGACTGGGTAAGTCAAACCAGCATGTACACTGGGTGGTTCTTTGTTCCTGCCACTTGGGCTTTGTGCCACTTGGGTCTGGTTAGGGCCATTTGCAGTACTGGTTGTCAGGCTATACTAGGCTAGCCCTGCTCCTTGGGCTTTATGTCATTTGGGCTTCATTCCACTTGGGCTTTGTGCCATTTGGATCTGGTCAGGACTGCTGGTGGTATCAGTTAGCAGGAGATAAAATGCTAGGACTTGCTTGTGGGAACTTATTTGGACTAATGGAAGTATGGACCCAAGTTTTGGTTATATGTTTCCACTTTGTCAACAGTCTTTCTATGGTTATGGTTTTGGGTTTGTATTTCCATGCCATCCAGGGCTGTTCTCTTTCACCTCCTGAATCCCACTGGGTCAAATTTTAGCAGATTGGTCCATGGACAACTATGATCCAGTGACTAAGAAGGAATTTGTTTTATATTGTAACAGTGCTTGGCCTATGTATACTTTAGACTGTGGGGGGAAATGGCCCATAAGTGATTCCCTAAATTACTGCACCATCATACAGCTGGAATTTTTTTTTTACCAATGGTCAGGGAAATTGGACAAAATCCCCTTTTCCAGGCATTTATGTCTTTACACAGTAAGGATTTGGCAAATAAGGGGAACAAACTAAAGCTACAAAGTAGAGAATTGGCTTTAAACTCCCTCCCTGATAGTATTATACAGAAAGAAAAGGAAAATAGGAAGATGAGTCTCTTTAATGCCCTGAGCCCAGAGAACCCAGGATTAGCAGCAAAAGGGTTTCTGCTGCCATCACCCCTGCTGCTAGATACTCCTGAAATAGGGCCCAAAGGGGAAACAGCCACACCCCTGTATGATTTAAGGAATGGTTTCACCCTTGAAGACAAGGTAGGGTACCCAATTTGACCAGGGATCATCCCTATCTAGAGCAGGACAGTTTTCTTTGAGGCAATACCCTATAGGTGCAGTAAACCAGGGAAGCCAGGCTGCTGGCCACTACTGGGCCAATATTCCATTTTCCACTTCAGATTTACTGAATTGGAAAGACTCCAACCCTTCATATAAGGAGGATCCTCAAAAAATGGCAGATCTTATCACCTCCATTTTTGCCACTCATCATCAAAACTGGGCAGACATACAAGCTCTCCTTAACATCCTGCTAATGGTTGATGAAAGGCAGCTAGTTATAGATAACGCTAATGAAGAGGCTCATCCCCTCCATCAGGAGAATTTCAGTGGGACTCCCAATATAGCCATGACAATTCCCTTGACAGAGCCCAACTGGGCCTCGAAGAGCAGAGCCCTAGAGCATTACAAAAGGTACAAATGGGAACGGATTTTAAAAGGGATCCTTAAACAAGAGCCTGAATATGATACAGGCCATTCAACAGAAATTAAATGAGGACCTTCTGAATTTTTAGAAAGGTTCTGTCAGGCCTCTCAAAAGCACACTGGTGCTGACACAAAGGCCAGAAAATGTCTGGATGATAAACATGACTTTTATTGGGCAAAGTGCCCCAGATATCAGAAGGAAGCTCCAGTGTTTACACAGCACATGGGGAATGAATCTCTCCCAGCTGGTGGACATAGCCTTTAAAGTTTACCATGGCTGGAAAAGGGGGTAACTAAAGAAGGCCACTGTTTTCTTAGAAATAGTATGGGGAAACCAGAAGCAGAGGTGGGACCTGAATGGAAAAAGGAGATACGTTAGGCACCAATCAATGAACCTATTGCAAAAAGGAAGGCCATTGGAGAAATGACTACCCAGAACTCAAAAAGAATAGAAGACTTCAAGTCAAGATGGTGGCATAGGCAAACACGCTGCATCTCCTGACACAACTACAGCAAAAATTATAACTAGACAACAAAATAAATATCACCTAGATTCATCAGAAAAATCAGCTCTGACTTCCGGCCAAGATGGAGGTGTAAGTAGATACACTTTGCCTCCTCGCACAAACAAAAGAAGGACAACAACAAATATAAAAACAAAAAATAACCAGAACTGCCAGAATATTGAAATGTATGGAAGTCCAAAATCAA